ATAAGAATGAGATAAAATATATAGAATTAATATTCCACATGTGTGAAGTTTGGAAGTTAAATATTTTTTTTTTTTAATTAAGTATTTTTAAAAATGACCCCTTAAAGCATGGGACCTTTCGTAATTAGAACTTGCAAATCCACTTCGCTAGTCTTTCATAACATTGCTTTTCTTTTATTAACAAGAAATATTGCATTCAGTTATTTAATTTAAGATATCAAAAATAATGCTACTGAAAGGCATGAATACTTACTTAAATTTGAAATTAATTTGGTTGACTTAAAATAATATTTAAAAAAATAAATCTTCATATATACGTCTAAAAATCAGACCTTATTAATTTTCTTTTATTTGAACGATATCTGAATTCTGCCTTAGTTTGGACTAGTAAATCATTGGGCAATTAAATGCCAAGCTATAAGAGAACTAATGTAGTTTACAAATGCACTGAATTTTATTTCCGGTATATTTTTTCTGCATATTTGCATCATTTGGATTGATAGAATATGGCAAAGCATGCAAAGGCTATCAGCCTAAAGGGAAGTATATATATTCATGGGCGGTTTTGTAAGGAAAAGTAGCTTGCATTTCCATTTATTCATGTGTGTATATATATATATATATTTACATTGTTAATGCTAAAATCAATGCTTCATTAAAAATTCATTATTATTTTATTTTTAATACAACATACAGATACAGAATTGTTTTAAATTCCAATAAACAATAATAATTTATTTTTAAGAAAACTTATTTTATGATTTATATATTATATTACATGAATAAGAGAAACATTTGTCAAGAAATGTATTAAACTTGTATTAGCAGATTCATGCTATCCTAGTAACAAGACTATCATACTTCAAAACTGTATTAAAACTGGGCAAAATAAAATCAACATAAATTCTACATTAAATGTTTAAAAACTTATAAGTATGCAATGGTAGTTATATATACAATATAATATATGTTGTCATTTATAAAATATTAATGAAATGATATTTTTGGAAATAATGCACAAAATTTTAGTTTTGTTTTATAATTAGTTTAACGAATTGTTAGAAAAAAATATTTTAGGTCATTTCCATTTTTCCCCTGTTGATATTGGTATATTAAAATATATGGAATAATTAAGTTGCATCTAGTTAGTAAAAACAAAACATTACGAAAAGTATGATCGGCAGTGTCTCAAAAAAGTGATGGGACACTTGTGCTTTACAAAAGGAACTGCAATAAAATAAATTTAAAAAACATGTAAAATTTTTTGTGGGTGTGTTTCATACTTAAATTTAGTAACAATTATTACATAACATACATTTTCTCAAAATATTAAAATATTAATTTAATAAAATACAAACAATTGTTTAGAACGGAGCAGAAAAATGGCTCACTTAAGTGATGGGACACTACGTATTATGCAACAAAAATCTTCTGAAGTAAGCAATAAAAATATCTTTTTGGGGTATTTATTTTTACTCAAAAGCAATTGCCAATAATTTATAAAATCGTCTGCAGTATTTCTCTCCAGTTTGTTTTGGAATTTTTGTGTTTTTAGCTCTGTGAAGCCATGAATGCTAACGAAACGAAAAGAAACTTTGCCTGGAATTCGAAAATTAGTTATTAATTTGCATATTGAACGTGGAAAATCTATTAGAGAAACTACTGAAACAGTTAACTTCAGTCATTCAACAGTTTTCAATATCATTAAACGATATAAAAAGAATCATATGATTCAGGATAAAAGAAGACCTGGCCGACCATCAAAGCTATCCAATGGAATAGAGCGAATTATCGTTCGAAATATTTAAAAAAAAAAATCCAAGAATGAGTGCTCCTAAAGTTGCTGCTGATTTACAAGCATTATATGGAGTAATTGTTAATTATGAGACTATTAGAAGAGTAATTCGATCTACTGGATGTCACGGTAGAGCAGCCAGGAAAAAAATTCTTCGTAAGTGAAAAGAATAGAAAACTCAGACTGGCTTTCGCAAAATCCAACATAAATAAGAATTCTGATTACTGGAATGAAGTTATATTTACTGATGAGAGTAAATTTAATATATTTGGTTCTGACGGTAGAATATTGGTGTGGAGAAAAACCCAGGGAAGAATTTCGCAAACAGAACTTAGTGCCAACAGTAAAACATGGTGGAGGAGGAGTTATGGTATGGGGGTGTATGTCGTCCGCTGGAGTTGGTAATCTTGTTTTTATTGACAGTATAATGGATCAGTACAAGTATATTGACATTTTAAATCAAAATTTGAAATCTTCAGCACGAAAATTGAACCTTCATAACGATTTTAAATTCTACCAGGACAATGACCCCAAGCACAGTGCTTTGAACGTTAGACTCTGGCTGCTGTATAACTGTCCTGAAATAATAAAAAAAACCCACAATCTCCACAATTAAATCCCATAGAGAATATTTGGCAAGAATTGGAATCAAGAATTCGCAAACACACCATTTCTTCAAAACAACAATTAAAATCGGTGCTTCAAGAAGAATGGGGTAAAATCACTCCAGAAATCACAAAAAAATTAGTCGAATCCATCCCAAGAAGATTAAATCATGTTTTAAAAGTAAAAGGAAATCCAACAAAATATTAAAACCTTTTAAAAAGTAAAATTTTTGGATAAATATTTGATGGAAAAGTAAATGCCCCATAACTTACGTGTATCCCATCACTTAAGTGAGCCATTTTTTGCTCCGTTCTAAACAATTGTATTTTTATTAAATTAATATTTTAATATTTTGAGAAAATGTATGTTATGTAATAATTGTTACTAAATTTAAGTATGAAACACACCCACAAAAAATTTTACATGTTTTTTAAATTTATTTTATTGCAGTTTCCTTTTGTAAAGCACAAGTGTCCCATTACTTTTTTGAGACACTGTAATTACTTCATTTTGGAATTATAATATTTTCGTAAGAAATTAATACCACTGAAAAAAATAGGCTAAAAAATATTATTACACTAAAGGAATAAACGAGGTTCTCTATCGCGTTGTTCAAGTTTTTGTAATTTTACTTCATGACACACTCGTACATAAACATATTAGACTGAATTATAAACCAAGTATAACTAATTAGGTAATCCTAGAAAAAGAATAAACTAAACCTAGTAAGCAAAACATATATGTATTACATTCAGAATTCTAAATGTTTATATAAATGTTTCTCGCAAGGCCTGCCGGGAAAAAGATGTCAAACGTTCTTTGGTCAGACGATTATAAACGAACGCTAACATGATTAGTTTTGTTTTCAACAACCACATTACCATTTCAATTAAATACCACAAACAGTGATTAAATTTTGGAATAATTAGTTTTAAATAATAATAAGGGCAATTGAAGGCGTAATTTATCGGATGCACTATGACAAAATACTACTATTAGATCTGCATTTGGAATAAATATTTTGCACTCTTTCAACTCATTAGACATTACGAACACTGATATTAATTAATCGCAAAGCTTAAACGTTTAAATACTTACTCACTACATATAACAGTGCAAAGTGCATGAGAATAATCTGCATAAAATGAACAAAAAATATTTCAAGCAGTAATTGTAAACATTTTCTTACTTACCTGCGCTACACAACCAACACGCATTCAGCCATGTTTTTTTCTGCAACTAGCTTTCAAACACTTTTCTCCTGATTGGCTAATTTCCAGTCAGTCACGTGATTCTTCCGCGCGGCTTCTGAAACATTACCTGTAATGCTACAAGCAAATCCGCTGTTACCGCTACAGTTTGCTTTCAACCTGTTGCCATTACAGGAAATTCTTGTGTAACTTTTTGATTTCTGTAACTTTACAAAACTTTTGCCTGTAAAGAGCGAACTTTTTTTTTTTACCGTGTGGATACTTGTTTGGAATTTTTGTCACACTTGAGGCTCCATTATGACATTTTTTTCCTTTCTTGTTGATGATATTACCTATCGACGCTTTAGATATCACAAAACCACGACTCTCACATCGTTTTTGGATAACGGAGTATGCATATTTCTCTTCGGAAAGAGCGTAAATGTAGCCTTCGAACCACTGCTATGTTAAATTCGCCATTTTGAATAAAAACAAAACTTTCAAGCCACAGACGATAATTTTGACTTTTAAAAACATAGTACAATTGCAATTACTTCTTTTGCAGCAAACGATTTTTTATTACCGCTTACCAAAATCGTCTAAAAAATGTGCGAACAGCCTCTGTATAATGTCTCTGCAGTAAAGAGGTGCTTAAAATACTGTTGAACCAAATATTCTCTTGAAAAGTTTGTGGGAGGAGAAGAGAGGTGTGAAGCCCTCTAATCTATTCCTCAGGGGGTTTTACTTTAGAATCTCTCAAAACAGAGTTAAGCAAATTCATACTATCACTTATAAGATGCCCATGGTTCTTCAACTAACAACAGGTACAGTGGTTGTGCTTCTGGCCATGATGAATTTGTGGAGTGGAATGATGCTATTGTAAGATAAGTACAGCATAAAAAATTATATTATGAGATTTCTTTTAGTCTTCAAAGACATTCTTATTGTGATACCTTTGTCCAATTTTATAAATAGGCTATAAACAGTAATTGTTTTATTTGGTATCTTTATATCACACACAATTGTCATCAATTTTAATTTTATTTATGTTAAAATTTTCTGCCAAGCATAAATGAATATGCTATTTGTTTATTTATTAATTTATTTTTTGTGCAAATTAATTGCTTAGTACACACGCACTCCATGTTTTAACTTTAATGTCTGTCTAAAAATTTGTCTTAATACTGTCAGTTCTAGTAATGAATTACTAATGTATAAATTTAACATTCCTAAACAGAAATTTTAGCAGCTATGTTTTTCCCCTGGTATGTTTTTTTTTTAAATATTTTAATGTTATGTACTTCAGTATGTAAGTTTATATACAAGTATTATACAAGAGTAAAATAATATATCAAACATTATTTTATTATGTAATATAAATTTATTCATTATTTTTATTGTTGTTTTAGATGGATTTTCAATCCCTGGTGAACAAGGATGGTTTCAAAACCATTCTCCTTTACCATTTAAAAAGTCAAGTTAGAAGCAAATTTGGGAATGCTATTTCAAACAAGATTCAAGAGCATATTGAGAAAGATGAATCTTTATCTTCGGATAACCTTGTCACAGAGTTAAGTAGCAACGTTTCTGAATCGAAAGAATTTCAGGACCTTTTTAAGTCGTACATAGATAACCTAAATGTTCTCTTCAGTGACAAAGAATCTTTTGTTCCAAAAGATGAAAAATTAGGTTCGGATTCACAGTGTAGTTCAGCATCTAGTATGAATATATCATCCATTGATTTTTTAAGTCCACACCAGTTTCAGAATATTACTCAATCCTTGTTGAATGGAATATTTGTTGAAAAACTGGAAGCTATTGAAACACTTTGTAGACTACCTGCTCTGGAGCATATCATCAAACCAACTTTGTGGCCAGAAATTGAGAGTGGTCTTCAGAATGCTTTGTCAAGCAATGTTGTCTTAATTAAAGATGCCAGTTTGAAACTTTATTCAAAGATGCTTAGTTCTCCTGAACCAAAAGTTGTTCAAGAAAGCTATACTAGTCTCATAAAATTCCTCCTACATAAACTTTTACCCCTCTTAAATAAAAACAACACAGATTCATATTTCATGTATAAGTGTAAGTGTGCAGTGGAAGTCATAGCAATTCTAAATAAGTTCCTTCAAAATATATCTTCGCACTGGTTACGATATCCTCAATCAGTTATTGAGGAAATAACTGTTCTGAGCTTAAGTATATTATCACACAGTTGCAAATATTCAAGTCATTTCCCTACTTGGATATGTGTTGCTCTTTGTGATCCTAAAGCAAAATGGTTAAAGAATATCCTCTTTGGACATATTAGCAGAGGATTTTTACTAAGTGCTTTAGAAAGAGATTTTCATTTGCTACAATTTGCTGTTGAATTCTGTGAAAAATTTGCCTCTGCTGATGATTATTTAGCATTAAAAGATAAATGCTGTCAAAAGTCTGCTTTTGTTGCAGAAATAACACATATAATCTGTTTTCTTTCTCATATTCTTCAATACTACCAGGGAAGAGAAATTTTTGCGTATGTGTCACAAGGAACATTATCACCATGCTGGATGAATGCGCTGAACTTAGTGATGAAATGCACTCGGAAACTATGCTGTGTAACTTGTTTTAATTGCTGTGCTGTTGTATGTGAAATAGTTTCAAAAAAGTGGTCATATTTTTGGGATGGTGATATATCTATTACAGGTAACAGTCTGACAGAAATGCTTATATTTCCTCATTGTGATGTAGGATGTACAGCAGTAAGTAGTATTTATTTCACAATACAATGTTTATGTGAGGCCCTTGATAGCTTCTATAATGTTTCTGATATCCTTCCAACAGGTAAGGTTGATCATTTTATATGTGCACTTTTGAAACATTGTATTGATTTTTATTTTATAAACAGTGATTTAAATCAGGTGCCAATATGTGTTTTAAACATCTTAATTTCTTGTCTTTGTCTTGTGAAGAAAATATTATCAACTCCTTCAACTTTTTTTCTGAAGAGTCAGTTTAATGAAGTTCTTAAAATATGGTGGTTAAAAACTAATGACTTTTGCAAGAAAAAGTCAACTATTAATGACTGTGATTTAGCATCCAGCCATCGCAATGAAGTTACATCAGAATTAGAGAATAAAATGTCACTGCTACATATGTGCTTTTTGGGAAAACCATTTGGCATTCAAATTTTACATAATGCTGAATACTTGGAAATAAGTTTGCATGTTTTATTAGAAAAAATGCTTACTGATTTGAAGCAGAAGAACTCCCTTTGTCCCCGTGATTCTTTGTTGCTGTCAACTGCACTGAATTCAAGTTTTTCGCTGACTTCTATTTTAAATAAGTCTTTATTGTTCAAACTTTCTTCAGTAATTTGGCAAGCAAATGAAATGGAAAATTTATTAGAAAGTCCAATTAAACTCATGTTAGAAATATTGGTACCTTCCATATTTACTGAATTAACTACTAATGAAATGTTAGTTGATACCAATTGTGATAATCCAAACCAGTTATTTGAATATGTGTTATTGTTTCCTAATTTGACAACTCACGACTGCATACCACATGAAGACTATAACATTCTTGCTTTACAAGTTATTTCTTCATTGACATCTTCAATTCAATCTGTATGTATTCTGCAAGCTAAATTCATGTTGATAGAAATGCTTTTTGAACTTCAATCCCAGCATGTGAATAATGATGGAATATTAATAACAGATCCTATAACAATATTAGTTAATCTTATTTTAGTGAAGATGTATGCAGTTGGGGGTCCAGAAGAGAAGGTTCTGCCTCCTGAATTTCTAGAGAACAGCACTGAATACAATTGGCCTTTTATTCAAAGCTATCCTCTTCCTGAAATATATTATCATGAGCTGTCATTGGATAATAATTTTAATATGAATTTCTGCATTACAGAAATTCATCAAGTGAATTTGCAGAATGTCTTTCTGAAGTGTATCCAGTCTAACAAACAATTAACACCAGATTTTCTTTTACATTTGTTAAAATGTAACCTTAATCTATTAACTGCTGATTTAGACTTTTCCAAGACCTTGAATTTTGTAACTTTAGATTCACCCAGTGAAATAGTCTTGGAAGATGAAATACTTTATGGAATTTCACTGACAAATAGATATGGAAATATTTTAAAACTGACATCAGCTGATGATTCATGGAAATTAGAAAAATTGTTGAAAGCAGTAAAATGTTTTTTTGGAATAGAAAATTATGTAAAATTTGATACTTTTGTGAACACAATTTACCTAATTTTTAAAGCTGATTTAGAAGCATGTTGGCTATTTTTAGAAACCTTTGCTACATCCAAAAATTCTCTTTTCATTTGGTCTGAGCGATTATTACAAGCAAAAGGTTATGATTCTCAGAAGTATACAACGTTTTACTGTGCAATGCTGGAACAATGCGATATTATTGTAAAAACAACTCTGCCACTTGTTTTTAATGCTCTCAAATCGTGTGGGATTTTGCCATCTGTTATTTTCAAATACTGGACAAACCAGTGTTATTGGAATTATTTAGATTTTATTGAAATAGCTCAATTTCTGCTCATGAGTATAATACATTCTGGTGATTTTGTAATATATTTCTTTGTTTCTATTTTGAAACACCTCCAGCCTGTGATATTAAAACATGCACATGATTGTGATATTTTCAGCATTTTGAAAAAAATGCCTGTTCATAATTATAAGTTATTTAATTACATACAGTTCATAATTGAGCTTTCTGACTGTTTTCATGCCTCTGTGTCTGAAACAGTTATGGATATTCTGGCTGAAAAAATGTCATAGATTATATTTGTTAAATACTTTTATTGAAATTTAATGTTTAAATGTTGTTGAAGTGTATTGTATGCTACAGAGCAGACTTTCAAATTTCTAGAAATGTCATATAATGAATCATATTTAAATTTCAATAACAATGTACTTGCATTTACCAGGAAGAATTGAAAAGCAATGTATTCTATTTTTTTTTTTTTTTTTTTTTTTTTAAAGAAACACTTGCATAGGTTTAATACAAAGAATGCTCAAATATGAACAGGAATCTAACATTTAAATTGTATTTATTAATATAAACAAAATGACTTACAATCTGATTTTCTGTTTAGTCATTGACCATCATGATCTTTTTCTTCCAAAAACCTAAGAAATTTCTTGATTCCGAAAAAATAAAACTTTTGTGATTGATAAATTTTTGCAAAGTGTTAATAATCTGTTCATTAGATATGAATTTCTTCTGTCTTAAATTTTTTTTTTAGAGGATCAAAGAGCTTAAAGCATGATGGTGCTAAATCACCTCAAATTTGAGGTGAAATGGTACTTCTGTTTTTCAAAGATCTAATGATGATTTGCTGTGCAGCGGTATTGTGAATCCCTTACCCCCAACAAGTTGATTACAACTGAAAGGAGTTGTGAAAAGAAGAGCTAGCCAGTTATTGACAAGTGTGTTATTGTGACTATCTTACTTGTCTAACAGTAATATCAGAACAAGTCTACAAAATTTTATTGTGGTGAGAAGCATGGAGTTGTTTCTGTCATTGGCATGTGCCTTCAGCACCTTATTATTAGAGTATGTCTTTGCCCATCTCCATCTTAATTTTAATGGAGATTCTCCCAGGGAATGATTACAAGGGCCTCCCACCCCCGGCTCCTATTACAAAACCAATTGAGATTACTTTTGGCTCAACTGTGTATTTTAAATGCTGCCATGCCACAAAGACACTATGCATTTACTCGAAATGAGAATAAAAGGCTATCTAAGCCTTTTATTATAGCCTTTTATTCTCATTTCGAATCCAGGCCTAATGCATCCAGCAACACTAACCACTATATAGATCAGGGTGGCTTTGAAAATTGTAAATACTGTATTTCCTTATGTATCCCCCCATAGCTTTTTGGTACCAGGTTCTGAAAATTTTAAAAATATTCACGCAATTTTGCCGTTCATCAATGCATTCAGAAGATGAGTTCCCCAAAACTTTAAAATAGATTCATCCATGTAATGACTGTTTTCATCGTACTAACAAACTCTTGCAAATACTTGTGAAGGTCATGCTAAGCCTTCTCTTCTAATTGTTGAACTTTACACTAGCCTATTATACGAACCAACCCATCACTGCGAAACAAACATGAACTGACATTCAGTTTACGATTTTGTGAGTTAGATGCACATTCACCTGCTCCAATTTTTTAAGGAGGATTTGAGGTCTAGTAGCAGCGAAAACATTAAAACTGGAGTATCCGGTCCTCGCCTGATCACCGGGACCAAAGGCTAAGAGGAAAAAGCATGTTAAATCATAGCACTAAAAAAATCAGTGAAATTAAATTTTTGAAAAACCCTAATTAAAGAATTTTGATATCTACTGACTGAAGCTGTTGGCTCACTAACATCTTTATTAACCTTCCGGCGGGCGCGCCTTCTGCACCAACAGGTCGTGCGTATTTCGCTAGATACGCTATTATAAAAAATAAATTTTCCAGAGCAAAAATATTGAAATTATTTTGTAAATAGTTAAATGTTAATAAGTACAATTGAGTTAAACAATATGAACTTTAAATTAAGGAAATAAAATAAGTATAAAACACTAAAACAATATAAAAAGGACTAAAGACTTACCAAACTAACTTGAAAGAAAAACAAAATTAAACTGCCAATATTTCGACTGAACTTTTATATTTTTAATCAGTAAGTGGAAAAACACATTAAATATTACATAAAAATCAATTTCTTAATCACTTCATTGCATCGCTGCAGTCTGAATAAATATATTTACAGTGCTCTAGACGAATTTTAAACAAATCTTACAGCTGAACCTCGTAATTCTAGTGAGCTTGTCATTTTGGCAGGTTTTGCATCTTTTTTTTTTTTTTTTTTTTTTCTTCCTAAAGTCATTTCTTCAACAACTCCTAATTCTGCTTTTCGTTTCAACAATTTTAATTTCAGCTCGCTTTGAAGAGAGGTAGGGCTTCTTCTTTCAACGTTTTCCTTTATAAGAGCATTTGCTAGCTTTCACAGATATTGCCTTCTAAGTAATTTTTCACTATTATTCGTTGAATGAATTATGTAGCTGTTGATTGCTGCTATATTCAGCATAGAGATGAAAAACTACAAGAGGCCAACACCTGGTGTTCCTAGGCAACATTGTAAGGAAGCACAGAGTTTGTCCACTGTATCCAGACCTCCTTTGGTACGATTGTAAAATGTGATAATCTCAGGCGTTTTTTTGGTGCTGGGTATCCTTCATCTATTGCTATGTTACGTCATGATGAGACTTGAAATCAATATGATGTTTCTATAACGTTTTCGTACATAGGAGAGAAGTGTCAATATTTTTTCTAAATCCAAAAGGATTCGTATTGGGTTCCCGAGTTTTCGTCAGCTTGAACTGATCCGGAATTTGAGGTTTATTTTATTTTATTATTATTTTTCAAAGTACCTACAAATGAATTTTTGATAAATTTTTTCAAAGTCTCTGTTGTCCCAATTTTTTTTCATCTAGATCTCGTACTAACTCAAGACTTGAAAACCAGTTTGTCTGTAGTTACATTTCTTCCAGTGTTATGAATAAGTTCTGTCAACCTTTATACAACATCTTGTGGTTTGTTGCTTACGCAAAAAGGACCATCTGGCTGCGCTCCAGCATAAATTTCCAAATTGTATGTGTAAAACATACGAGCGTCTACCATAGCATAAATTTTTGTTTTTTTAGGAATGTATTGAATAAAACCACATCTTCCTCGAAATCCTTCTAATTTCTCTTCGATTGTGACATTCTCTCCAAGTGAATAGCACTTCTGGCAATTAGAGACAAACTTTTCAAAAATGTTTCTTATTGGAGCCAAGCGGTCGACTCCTCTGCATTCTGCTTTTGTGTTTATGTGATCAAACCGTAAAGCTCTTAGTAAAAACAAAAATCTCTTTAAGTTCATTACTACTTTAAAACCATCCATTCTCCACAGTTTCTCAAGATTAACTCTGTTACCATGATAAATACCAGCTAAATAAGCCCAAAAGAGCTTTTATTTCTGCTCCATCCATGTCTCTGCTGCCCCTTATACGAGAATAATTAAACCTCACAGAAGAAATAAACTTTATTCGTATCTTCAGCGATGATTTCTATCATACTATCAGTCAAAGGGCATTTCCATATATCCAAAATATCTGTTAGAGATTTAGCTTCACCGCTGACTCCAGGAACATGAACACATATATTACGAGACACTTTAGTTTTCTTAAACGGTTCTTTATCTCATGTCCAAGAATCGATGACTTTTCTGTTTTTCATTTGATGAGCTATATACACTTCGAAAGAACTATCATTATTATTTTCCTCTTCAGACTTGCTCTCTGCACTTATCTCTGATTCTGAATCACCTTATGCATACAGTTCTTTCTGAAATTCGATCGTCTTCATCTGTAATGCTTTCATCTAAAATAATGTCCTCATCGTCATCACTGTTACATAAAAGCATATTTCTTATAATCTCAAGATCCTTCAGATCATTCATGTCGAGCATTTTACTTTTATTCGCTATAACTGAAAACAAAAGAACAAAAATATCATACATGATCGCGCATATGTGATGCATACAGTGTTTCTATTTTATCATTAAAAGTAATTATGCACACAAATTATATAAAATTATAAGATTTAGATGCAAAAGAATAAAGATTTTCTATAATACGAGTAAAAAAGGAAATTAGATATAACAAAAACTTACTTCAACGGTCGCGCGTATTTCTGGAATACAAATAGTAAATCTTCAGACTCTCATTAATCCCTCGAAATCCAGCAGACAACTGAAAGAAGGGCGAATGAAGAGGAGAGAATAGCCAAGAACACGCGGTCATAGCGCCCTCTGGCCTACGAAACAAATGCGAAATTAATATCTAGTGTATCTCACACACGCGCCCGCTGGAAGGTTAAGTTCTATATACAAAATTTACCTCAAAGTACTAAGATGCAAGTAGCAGAGACAACATAAAATGGATTGTCCGATCTGCACCTCAAAAGTAGAGGTATCACCGGAGCCAAAGCTAAAATATAGAGTTTTAATTAACCAGCAAAAATGCTAAAAAGTTTTAGTATCCTAGTATTGAATTTTGATGTCTTCTAACTAGAAGATGTATTGGCCTAGCCAACATCCTTATTATGTTCTATTTTCATTATTTACAAAGATCCAATTCGGATAATCGTTCATAATACAAAAGATAATTATCCATTACAAACCATCAAAGATTGAAAAAGAAAATAAATTAAAATGCACACTTGAGAAATGCAGTCTTAATACAATTGCAATTTTAACGTAGAAAAGAATTAGAGAATATTTATATGTAGGTACCATGACTATAGTATGAGAAATACAGAGAACAATTCTTCATTAAAGAGTGGAATAACTCGATACAATAAGAGTTTAAATATTAAAGATTCAATAATATAGTTGTAAGTTTAGACATATAATACATCTTCATTAACATAGATATATTCCATAAGTATAGATAATAATTTTCGACCTTTATTAATTGTTACAAGTTTACATAAAAGGTCAGATGTTAAAGTTTGTGGGAAGAGTTCTTTGCATTTTAAAGCAATACTTGGGAAATCCACGATCATGTAAATTGCATCTGCCGATAAGTAGCCACATTGAAATTCACGTAGTGAGTCTTTTAATTTGAATCTGTTGAAATAAAAGGGAAAAGTACCGTGGTTTGTGAGGATTTGAATGAGGAAAAAGTCACAATGATGTCGTTTTCCTGAGACTTTTGATAGAATTCTGAAAGTGTTTCTTCCAGTGTCCTCTTCCTGCCATCTTTTATGCCATATTTCAAGGGCTTTCTCCTTGGCTATTCGGGCTATGAAACTTAACGGTAATTTACATTCCACTTTTTCCAAAGAGTAAATGCCTTTCTTTGCTAATTCATATTCAGTTGCTTTTTCATTTCCGAAGGAGCCCTGATAACCCCTAATCCAGTGCAGCTTGGCCTTAGTGACAGATAAGAGCTTTTTAACTTCAATTATATATGCATTGTAGATATCAAACGTCTCTACCGATTTCAGTACTGCTTGACTATCGGCGTAGATATTTGCTGTCATTTTGTGGGATTAAGCCAGGATAGTGCTGACTTCATTGCTTTAGTCTCCGCTTGATAGACCGAGCAGTTCTTGTCAAGTTGAAACGAATACTCTTGAGTACTCCATTCCACAATGTGCAGAAGCCAGCACCCGTACCGTCATCGTTCTTGGATCCGTCAGTATATATTTCCAGTTCTTTATTTATAGGAGGTATATCATCCCAGTGAAATATTTAAATCCGTGCTGGGTGTAGATAACATCTGTTCAGAAGGAAATCTATATCTTCTCTGGAAATATGGATATCATCTAAGTTAAAATCCGTCCAGCCTCCTTTTAGTCCTTTGAATTGCACAATCCAGATCTAATTTAATATCCAATGCGATTAAACCCGCAATTAGTTGTAAAGAAGATGTTTTGTAGCTTTTGGTCATAGCTAATAACGCAACACGTTAGATTGTGTTTGCTTTGTTTCTCATTTTAATAGTGGGTGGGTGCCACCAGGCTGCGCTGGCATACACTGCCGCTCTTTCTATAGCTCGCTTGTATAACTCCTTTATGACTAGTTTAGAAAGACCAGGCAATTTCACAAGATTATAATTTTACATACCTTGGATTTTATATAGTTCAATTGTGGTAGCCATGTTAAACATTCATATATTGTTACGCCAAGATATTTTATTTGTTTTTGCCTTTTTATGGTCACTTTGCCCATTTTAATCGTAGGGTCAGAGTGAGCCGAACCTCGTTTCTTGGTTGTTGCAAACATTGAACTTGATTTCTCCGGTGAGAATTGAAGTTTACATCTAATTGCCTAATCAGATAGTTTTTGTAAACATTTTTGGCTCCATTTTGAATTTGCTTATAAGTAGATCCAGTTACTATGAGTAGCACGTCGTCTGCATAAGCTTGAATTTGAATACTTTCTCCATAGTCTATCTGAAAGGCAATGTTCATAACTATATTCTAGAAAAGAGGTCCGGAATTTGAACCCTGAACACATCCTTTTTCTTGAGCTTGATTATAGTGTACGTTATTGATTTCATATATGATATGACGATTTTCCAGGCTTTCGATTACTTTATATATATTAATAGGACATTTGAGATTAAGAAGTTCTTGGAGTAAGAACGGCCACCAGATATTATTAAACGCACTTTTTATGTCCAGAGAAATAACAATTGTATAGCAATTATTCCATCTATTTTCTTCAATTGTTGCTGTTATGTCTTTTATTGCATCTGATGAACAGATGCCAGCAGTGACCCCATATTGTTCATTACTTAGTTTCCCATTAGAGTGTAGGAAGTAACTTAATTTATTGGTAATCAACTTGTCGTAGATTTTGCTCCATGAGTTTAGGAGACAAATGAGCCTATAAGCCTCTGGTAACTCTCCATTTTCCCCTTCTTTAGAGAAGAGAACCAGTTTAGCGATTTTCTAACATTCTGGAAAAATGCCTCGTCTAAAAAGTTTGTTGAACAATACAGTATGTAGGGATGGATTAGCAT